TCTCTGTTTTTTATTTTTATTATTATTTTTAATTATTTTTATTTTTATTTTTATAATGAATATGGTGCTGTCTGATGATCAGAATTTCTGAGTTATTGGTATTTTGACATTGATAGTGGAATTGTTCTAGCTCCATGTTGAACATCCACATTGTGTCAAGCCTTGTTATTATCAATTTACTAGTTTTTTTCCATTTCATACAAGTTATCATCTTGATTTTACACAAAGTACATCAGGTATTATTAGGTTCGTATTGAATTTCACTATGTTTAATTGATTTACATTGTGAATTGGACAATAGTCAATAGACTTAATACTTCTATTGCAAGAATTTTGTGATACAGTTTTTGCTTTTATTGATTTATTTATTTATTCCTTCCAACAAGATTAGAAATTTGTATGATGTCTTACAGATACTTTCTGTGAGGTTAAAAGAAAAAGTGAGGGGAAGAAAGAGGTGGATCTCGAAAACAAACAGAATATAGCAACCAATTTCATCTCTTGCTTCATATTTCTTCACTACCCATCAATGCTTAAGAAGCTCAACAGAATCACTAGGCTCAATCTTGGGCATTCTATCTCCATCACCGCAGCATTTAAACAATACTCAACCCTTCCCTTAAACCCTTACGCAAACCCCACAGAGCCCTTAACAAAACCCCAGCTCAAGATCCTGGTTCTCTCCCAATACTCTCATGTGAACTTCTCCAACCTTGTCCAGAATGTCATTGCTTTGCCCTCTGTCCTCCTCACTGTGTGCCAAAACCTCACCAGCCCTGGTAACACAACGCGAGAGACAACTCAGTTGCTCCCTCATTTTCTGGATTCCGTCTCCAAATGCTTCTCCATAATTGAAATGAGTGGTGAAATTAGAGAAAATGAGTTTGATGTTGTGTCTTGCTGTGTCAAAATGACACAATGAAGGGATAGAGGTGAGCCTCTGGTCCTGCCCAATTTGAAATTGAAGATCTTGATTGAAGCTATGAGGATGGTATTGGTAATTGTCTATTATGAACGGTTTGTCACATTTTCTTACGGGGGCTGTGTTGGTATGGGAAGGCATACTGCAATTAGGTGCCTTAAAAGCTCTGTACAAAATCTAAGTTGGTGGTTTAGTGTTTCGTTTAACCGTGAGAACTTTCAGAAGTGTAACATAGATAAATTGTGTTTGTTTATTGAGGAGAAAATTAAGGATATGATGTTGATTGGTATGCTCAAGAGGTTGTTTGATTGTGAAGTAGTGAGAATTGAACTGGGTGGGAGTTATTTAGGAAGAGGGTTTCCCTAGGAATCTGGCGTGTGTTCAATTTTGATTAATATTTACTTTGATGGTTTGGATAAAGAGATCCAAGATATGCGCCTTAAAATGAATCAGAATGATCCCAAACTTGATTTGAATGAGCTTGTTTCCGCCTCAGATGTCTTTTATAAACCGGAAAAGATATATGCTGTAAGGTACTTGGATGAGTTATTGGTCATAACGTCAGGGTCTAAGATTTCAATATTGGATTTGAAGAACCAGATCTTGAACTTTTTGGAGGTGAATTTAGATTTGAAGGTTGATAGAGTAAAAACAGCTGTCCATGGTGGCTGTTTCAGAAAATTAACTTCTTAGGGATGGAACTGCAAGCTTTTTCACCTTCAGTTTTGTATCCCCCTATGTTAGAGAAAGCAATTAGAGCAAAGAAGAAGTATCTCAGACAGAAGGAAGTTAGCGCTTTGGAATTGAGAAATGCCTGGGAGGGGAATCGGAGGAAATTAGATATCAGTGCCTTATCCATCAAACGTAGAGGGCACAAATCTACCAAAGGAAGAGGGCACAAATTAATCTACCGGTACCATTTGCCAAAACGGAAAACTACCAAAGGTAGAGAGCACAAATTAATGTACCGGTGCCATTTGCCAAAACGGAAAACTACCAGTCCAGCGTTGATTATTTATTTATTTCCCCAATCAGTCCAAAATGAGAAAAAAGCACATCATATTTACCAACTACCAGAATGATTCCCCATCAAAAGCCAATAATAATAATAATAATAATAAACAAAACAAAATCTACCACGATGATTCACATCTATCTAACAAAATGTAGGGCGCATGATATCCGTATCTCTCTCTCTCAGAGCATATACGTACGTTTCCACACGAGCATATACGTACGTTTCCACACATGCATGTTTTATTACTGCATTTATAGACAGCAGAGGAAATGGAGAAACGCCATACATGAAAATGGAGGTTCGTTTCTTCCTCTTCCTTGCAGCACTGATTTCATTTTTAGCTTACTTTGAAGGATCAACCGCGCTAAATCGGAGTAGCTTTCCTGATGGTTTTATCTTCGGAGCAGGATCGAGTGCTTACCAGGTAGGCCATTTAATACAATCACTGCTTAATATTGAAGAGGCTTAAATCTCTTACTTTATTCTCAAATCAATATTTTATAGTTGAGACCAATTTGACTAAACTCCTGTTAGTTTATACAATGATTATTAATTTACTTTTAGTTAATTCAAATCAATATTAATCAAACTTTCAGTTGCTGTTGCCTTCCTTTTATTAATTAACCTCTCTTTTAAAATCAGTATGAAGGGGCGACAAGGGCAGATGGGAGGCAACCAAGCATATGGGATACTTTTACGAAGTTATATCCAGGTATCTCTCAACATATCTAAATCTCTTAGTTGTCTTAAATAGATGCTGGTTTTTTTAGAACAAGAAAAAAGAATGATGTTTGCATTTGGGATGAAGAAGAGAGTGGTACTGAATATATCAACATCTGTTTTGTGTATTGGAACATATTTTACATATCATTCTTAACTTTTTAATAACAATTCCTATTTGTACGAAAAAAATAAAAACATAAATTACATCGCAAAGACAAGGCCTTCACTCTTTAGTCTTTATTCCCCAATTTATGTGGGTTATGTTACGTGATGTTGTGTCGTTTGTTTGTTTGTATTCCTTTTTTTTTTTTTCTCTTTATCAGCAGTGGTGTTGTCTCGTGCAGGCTAACTATAAAGCTGCGGTTGAAATGGTTTTGTAGTTTGTTTCTTCTTTTTTTTTTTTCTTTTTTTCATTTTTTATTGTACAAATAAATGTTTATTATATTAGAGTGCAAGACATATTTCTACCTTATTTATATATATTATATATATTGTATTGTTATTTCAAGTTAAACATTCATTTTTTTAATGTAAAAAGTCAAGATAACTAATCCAATCATACAATAAAAACCCAAATGCACTTTAATTTATCCTTTACCCACGAGGACTTAGCTTGTATTACCTTCATTAATCCGTGTGCATCT